GACTCAGCCGGAGTGTATGTGAGCTTTTATAGCGGTGTAAACTTTTCCTTATCACGTTTTGAGAGCACATAAACTTTTGAGATCCTTTTCCGGTTACAGAAGATGGCCGATAGATAAATGAGGTAAGCTATCAAACACACGTTAACAAAATTTTGAGGAAAGGTTTTCTCGCCAAGGAACATTTCATTCTAGAAGCTGGACCTTTGAGGAAGGCATATTTTGTTCCATTTTTAAACGTCGATTGTTCGATAAAACTTCAGAGGACGTTTAAACCCGCTCCATCCCATACCCCTCCCCACCCTTTTTCCACCCCCGCAACACATGCACTCAAAACCAGCAAACTTTGTTTTTTTTTTTGGTTTTTTTTTTAGAGTTAGAGAATGAGTCACAGATATTGATTTAACATGCAGAGAAAAAGAAAAGCAAAAACTGCACTGCTTTAACTCTTCCAGCCCCATGTGCGTGTATTTTCACTATCGCAAGAGCGTATATTATTCTCATTTTCGGAGGTTATCGAATTTGCCCATTTCTGGAAATTAGTAAGCCTAATTAAACTTTAATTTACATAATATTTAAATATTTTGTTCATTTACCTTTAGACATTGTTATATGTTATTATCTAAACCTCACTACAAAGATGCTGTATCACTTTTTTAAAATGAATGCCTCTTTTTCTGAAATATTGCTGTATTGGCTAGTATTGGGGTCAGGGAGTGCACAAACATGGCTGGGACTGGAAGGGATAACATGCAGGGAAAAACAACAACCTAAACTATGTTCACTCGTCATGTTCGTTATTTGCCAGAGCTGTGTTTTGTAACGTTTAGGCAAATATCCTTAGGCCGGTCCCAGAGTGGCTCTGTAGGTCTGACCTGTAGCTCGCCTAGCTCGCACTGTGCAAATAAACGTATACATTATCGCGTGCCTGAGCAACGGCTGTGCTGACACGCAGAGGGCGCTCACTCAGACACAGAAGCCAACGCAGAGTGCGGCAGTGCTGACACGCAGAGGGCGCTCACTCAGACACAGAAGCCAACGCACAGTGCGGCTGTGCTGACACGCAGACGGCGTGCGCTTGGCGAGCTACAGGTCAGACCTACAGAGCCACTCTGGGACCGGCCTAACACGCAGACTGTATGAGTTCACCAGCACCTGTGGTGTAGCGGTTAGGCACTTCGCTGTCGAACGCAGAAGACCTGATTTCGATTCCCGAGTGGGGAGAATTTTATCAAGTACCTCCTCGGTCTTTTTGCAGGGATGTTAGACGACCCCCCTCCCCATTCCAGGTTGGCCCTGACAGACAGGGTCAAGACACGCCTTCTAAATGATTCTTAGATTTTGGTTTGGTAAGAGTCTTACCGCATTGCAACCCAATAAGGTCATATAAATGCCGAAGATAAGAGGTGTTACAAGAGAGTAACATACATACAAAAGAAGGAGGACAGATCAGGACGATAGAAGTTTGATAGGAAAGAAGGACAAACCACACTGGAGCACCCGCCAACCATCCGCGTAAATGACCCTAAGTTTTGTCGATGGGGCCTAACATACTTTCATTAAAAAAGACAAACAAAAACAAATAAAAAACCACAAAAATAAAACAAAACAAAAACAAAATACCCCTACCCCCCCACAAAACAAACAAACAAACAAAAACGAAACAAAACATACACTTTGCTGACACAAAGAAGAGAATGTTACTACATGTGTATCAATAATTGGCTGCTTTTAAGGACAAGCGGACGAACCCAGATTACAGAGGTTTCCAGAAATCTTGACCCACACCAAAAATGGGCATTGCCCTACCTATAGAAGAAATTTGGTTTAATTGATTTGTATATTTGTTTGGTTATAGAGAAAACACTCCTTGTCTTTTACAGGGGCAAAAACCTTTACCTTCGATTTTCTCAAAACAGCATATTTCGGGATAGCCCCCTTGTGCTTAAAAGCGACCAATTTTGACCTGCTTCCATGAGCTGGTGTATTGAGTCAGTGTGTCAAATCCAACGTTATGCAAACCTTACATCCGGCATTATGCAAAAAGGGGACGGGTGTTGGCCAGGGCTGTTGTAATGTATGCACGTGACCTCTTGGGGCAGTGCTGGTGGTGAGCATGGTGGGTATGACGTCATCAAGGGTCATGGGGGAATGACAGGTCAAACACTGGACTGTGATGGATGGATGTTGGAGGAGTGTGTGTGTGTGTGTGTGTGTGTGTGTGTGTGTGTGTATGTGTGTGTGTGTGTGTGTGTGTGTGTGTGTGTGTGTGTATGTGTGCGTGTGTGTTTGTGTGTGCGTAATCGGAGGAAGAGAAAGAGAAGAAAAGGATGAGACAGGGAAGAGTAAAAAAAACTGCCGATATTAAAAAGAAGAGGAAGGAGGAGGAGGATAATAATGATACTTTTAAATTTGAAAAAAGAAAAAACAACAACAAAAAACTCCGAGAAATTTATGCTAACGTTTATATTTGAGATATATTTGTCAAAGATTGCAATATTTACATTCACGCAGCTATTTATGGGGTTCAGAGGTACACAGACAAAAGAAGATCTTGGTACAGAAACTGTTAGATAATAAGTTAAAGCGATTTTAGTATAACCCATTATCATCATTTACTTTTAGAAAGAGTTTTACAGCATTTGCAACACAATAAGCTTTTATAAGTGCCTAAGATTATAAGTGTTACAAGAGAGTAACAACACAAAAAATAAGGAGGAAAGATCAGGAAATTAGGTGTTTGATAAGAAAGAAGGAGCAAAACACACCAGAGGACCCGCCAACCGCCCATTATGCTCCTCACACCCCCCCCCCCTCAGCAGCAAGCACTATGCACTTAACATTATTATATACCCTGACCCCTGTAGAACCAAGAATACTCAGAAATATTCTCGGTTTCTCGTGAAGCATACTATGAAAGCAGTCGATTAAGCGCTTAAACTAGTCAAACAAATTGACAAGATGTATCGCTGTTTACATCGAGTATCCATTCAAACTTGAACGAAGTTAGGGAAATGTGTGTAACGTGTCTTTCACATGGATGCAACATCGGGGCCCTGACCGGATTTGAACCCTCCAACTTCTGTTGCGGAACCAGGGGACGGCCGAAGCCAAACGGAGAGAAAAGACGAAGTGTATATTTATCTATTTATTTATTCATTTATAGGAAAGTATTTTACGGCGCTCACAACTGCATAATAAGGTCATGAGAACATACACATTAAACTTTTTCAATTGGTAGGAAATTAAATTTTTTTCTCGGGTTGCGACCAAAGCCTACTCTTATCGATTTTGGACCACCAAGGGATATTAAACGTGCACAACTTACACACGGGACCTCGGAGATTTTTCGCTCTTCTCCGAGAAGGCTAGGTGTAAATCTTTCTTACCAGAAGATAAGGGGTGTGGCTGAAAGACAACAGTAAGAAGGAACCAAGGAGTAGCAATAGAAAGGCTACAGAAAAGGCCAGGAGCTCAGAGGAGGGGGCAAAGGAGGTGCGGGAGTGGGGGCAGAAATTGGAGACGAAAGCAAATCACAGAATAATATTAGAGAGCAGGAAGGGATGTGAAAGGGGCACATTTTTAGAGCAGAAAATTGTCCCCGTCGTTATCCGGATTCGAACCCGCTGCACCTACTGATTGAGAGGCTAACACCTTAACCCCTACGCCATGAGACACCCCCACCCCTTTGCGTCTTCGTTTGCGGAACCAGAGCACGGCGACGTCACACGGAGAGAAAAGACGAAGTGTGGGACAGGGACGAGAAGATCACAGTGGACTGAATGGTGAAGGAAAAAGATAAAAACGACGACCAAAATTACTTATTCATGTGTATCCTACAAGTTTTCTTTCCTTCAACAAAGTAAGGTGAAAACAGGTTTGGACACCCCCCACCCCAATCCCATTTATGTCCAATTTCCAGGAAGACCGAACAAAGCAGACAGAAAGCAATGAAAGCCTCAAGCAACTTAATGCGAAGGAAATCCCCTTCTGAATTTGAACCAGGGTCATGCGAGTGCGTATTAGCTGCCCAGTATGATGTTAACTAAACAAATTATGGTGCTTTCTTAAGCAGACGGGACTGCATGATCCCGCAAGAACAGGAAACAGACATGGTCAACGAAGGTTTTGGGAAACAGATCGATGCCCAGATCAATCGAACTAACAACAGTCCCGACAGTTAAAACATTGTATCGGTCTGAAGTCCTCGGACTGTTTTTGCAGACAAGAAGAAACGGCCACATTAAGACTGTCAAAATATGCGGTAAATATTGACACACACACAGAGGGAGAGGGGGAAAGGGGGGATGCATTTGTGACGTAAAACCAGACCACCTCCCTACCCACCTCCCTACCCCCTCCCCCCCCGACCCCAACCAGACACACACACACAAAAATCAAACCTACGAAATAATATTGTTTCAAAAAACGAGTTTGCACTTTTGCACGAGGGATGTGAATAGATCTATTTCAGAAACCCCGAAGCCCGCCAGAAAAAAATAATTTTTTTTACAACCTTACATGAGTGGTATGTGGCGGAAAAACGGAAGGAAGAAGAAACTGGCAGAACACATTAGGACCTGATGAAGGCTAACATTGATTTTGACGGTTTGGATTTAGATATAGATTTTAATTATCCGGAAAGACATAGACAGTAAAGGAAACCATAAACACACACACACACACACACAAACACACACACACACACACACACACACACACACACACACACACACACACAAAACCGCAAATTAATGGAAGTTCGTGCTTCTTTTAAAACTTAATCTCTTTGCTCTTTGGACCGGAAAAACCCGATGTGCCAAAGGCAGCGTTCACCACGGTGTTTTCCATCTCACTTGGTTTTCAAAAGTGGTTTAGAGAGCTCTACATTTTTGGTTAGATCATGGCGCCTGCCAGACATCATTTAGTGTGACAGCGCTCTTGCCAGAGGGCATAGTTATGTCGGTCGGGAAAAGATATTTTTTTAAAAGGTTTGGGGGGGG